GGTGGGTGTGTGTGTGTGTGTGTGTGTGGGTGTGTGTGTGTGTGTGTGTGTGTGTGTGCTAGTTCTCAGTGGCGTAGCCTACTCTTAGAGATGTAGGCCTACTCTACAGCGATACAATAATATAACAGCTATACAGAGCCGGGAATTAAGAACAATTCAGGCTAAGGCAGAATATTTATTCATTAATAAGGGGGTAAAAAAACAGTAGGTAGACAATTATACTAGAGCACCGTAACGCCCTCCACCTCCAACTCTAAACACCGATTCTTTAGTTTGATTTGATTCAGTCAGAGTTTTACTGCACTTGTGACAAATATAGGTCATATTATATTTATAAGTGCCAAAGACTAGAAGACTACAAAGAAAAGAAGAAGGAGAGATCAGGACGATAGATGTTGGATAAGGCAGAAGGAGCAAACCACCACGGCACCAGTCAACCATCTTCACCTAGACTAGATCTACTAGACTGTCTAGATTTACCATTACGAAAAGAACAACGACAAACATAAATCCCATACCTCAAATAACCAAAATAGTCTTGAAAAAGACGTATAATACACTATAATATACATCTTTTCTCACAATATGGAACCTACCTTTAACAGTGCATCGTTCTCTCTCTCTCTCTCCTTGTTGTGAGCTCAACCCGACGGTAACGCCTCCTTATATAATTTATTATGGTGAATCGCCCTCGTTTTCCCGCAGCTATTTATAGCAGCGGGATTTCACCACACTGGTGCAAAACACCACTCGTCATTTTCTATTTTTAGCATCTCTAACGGAATTTGCTATGTGTCAAGCCGGCGGTATAGCGAGCTCTCCTATCTCTTTCATGTAGCCTTCACAAGGAGATTAAAAGTGAGGCAGCGTTGTGGAATCAGGCTCTCGTCAATTTAATTGTTGGGCATGTAGAGTTATTGATATCATCTTAAAGCTTGTTCACTTGTCTTTATTTGCTTGAAAAAGATATCCATTTATTTTAAATACAAGTCGAGATATTTGCGAATGAAGGAGGTGGGGGGTCACCTATTTTCAGAGGTAAAATTAGTGAGCAAATAACCGCCAAAGATTAGTTACTTCCTTAGCTTAAGAGTCCGTGGTAACAGAAAATTAAAACATTTTTTGTGCCTTTAATCAACGTTTTTTAAGAAAAATCCACACCAAAACGAATTCTTTAATGGGCATGGAAAGATGTTGAGTCCAAAAAACAAATTTTGATAAAAATTCACAAACCTACAGAAAAATGCAAGTTTCTTCACTTAGATTATTTTGACGAGAGCCTGATTCCACCACGCTGCCTCACTAATGTAGTTACTGTTCCAAGCTCCTTGAGCCTTCCTCTCATTTTATCGATCGTGATAGCGGTTCAGTTACTGCCGGCAAGCGAAAGAGTGGGTTACCAGCCACTAATACCCAAGATGGATATTATTAAGTCTTAAACCGTCTTGGCTAATAGGCCTACTAATAGATGGCATTTTTAAAATTATTAACAAAGGTATGTGGGTTAATGCGGGCGCACGTGTGCGTGTGTGTGTGTGTGTGTGTATGTGTG